GGGTTGTTACCGACATCTGTTGAAAATTTGAAAATTTCACAACAGCACCTTTAGAAATATATTTACTGAGAAAAATGGTGACGTGTTCAATACTTATTATACCCGCTGTATATATATATATATATATATATATATATACACACACACACACACACACACACATGGGAAATGGGAGACGACACCTGTGCAAAGCATTGTGGGAGATCTCAGACTGTAATTAGGCTCGGTGAATAAACTGTCTGACGAGGGGCTTGAAGGGTTGGAGGAAGGCCCTGAATTTCCATGGGAAATATTCTACAGTAACCTTGAAACCACATGCGTATGGTGTGACTTCAAGCACGAGATCACATGACCACCAATATCCACAGATTATACATACACTTGTCTCTCTGCCAATGTTTACCTCCTGCTATACAAAGGCAGGAACACGTGTCTTTTTACGACCCCAGTGAAAGAGGTGCACAGACGCAAATGTAAATCCCAGAAACTGCATCAAAACAATTCAGGGTACAAAAGTCTGAGACCACTAGTCGAAATGCACTTGTTTTGCATTCTTGTAAAATCTAATATTGAGCATTTGGAGCTTCATCTGAAACAAATCCAAAGTTTTGTACAAATGAGTTTGGATGCTCATTGGCAAATACACCACTCACTAGCACGACAATGAACTGCAGTAAAAAAAAAAAAAAAAAACACACAGTTCAATGAATGTTTGGACAAACAAAAGCAAATACAATAGCAGCACCACTTGAAATACAAATCTCACTTTTAAAACCATAACTTTCTAAGTAGATATAATAGTTTTTCTCCAAAAGTAGCTTTTTTTTTTGACTGTTAGTACATTGCTATGTGGTTGCTAGGGCATTATGGTTACTAAATGTTTCCTTAAAAAAAGTAAATAAAAAAATAAATAATAACAATATAAAATTAATGAATTAAATAAAATTCCCATTTTCAAGCTAAAACTACAAAAAAGTAGTTTGTTAAACATTATTTTTTAACTTAATTAAACAATTCGAGATCGTACAAATTCATACACTTATAGTTACATGGGTGGACCTTCATGATATTTTTTTTTTCTTCTAAAAATCACATTGTACAAATTCATACAAAATCGCCTACTCATAAAACACATCTCATGAGATCGGGTTGGGAAAGTCTTATTATTATATTAAACCGCTAGCTATATTGAACAGTTCTGCTTGCAATAGGTCTAAATTTATCATGGTTTATGGATTTTTCGTCTTTATTGTAAAAATGGCAAAAATACTGAATAAGAAAATTATTTTTGCAGTAAACACAAAATTTTGTTAGGACTAATTCACAGCTTTACCTCAGTGAAGAAAGAAATACATTATAATCACTTACCCACATCATCCTCGTGATAAATGATGGAATGGTCGTCAGTGTTGGAGGTGGTGTATCTGTCAATGGGCTCGACGTAGAACGTCCCATTGGCTGTTGTAATGGAGCCTTCAAACTGACCCTCGAGAACAGACCCTTGACATGAGGATTCACTCTCATCTTGAGACATGAACAGTTTCATCTTAGTAACATTAATGATAGATAAGAATTGTGTGGAATTCAAAACAATGAATGTGTTTCAAAATGTCCTACCTTCTACTGCTCCTGAGTATATGTGAGAGAGATCCACCATCTGAGTTTCATCTTCTGACTGGACCTTGAAATCTTCTGTGAAGCCATTTACATCTGGCTTGAGACGTAGGTGGAATTCCCTACAAAAAAAAATCAGTACTTAATAAAATTCATATGTACATATTTAAGTATGGTGGATGTCTTAAAAATCCTAAGTACCTTTGAAAGGCGTTGAAGTTTAGATGAAGCTCTTGTTTGTTTGGATGCGTCTCGCGTCTGATGCGCTGGTGCTGTTGTTTTATGAGCTCTCGGTCATAAGACAGGCCTTCATAGTGTTTTATGTACTTGCTAATATCTTGTAAAGCTTCTGAAATATTTAAAAACGAAGGATACGCAGTTAAATTGGAGTCCAGTCCAATTATAAATTTGTTTACCACAAAGCAGTGACAGTGAGTAGATTTTTAAAATGTAAGCTAATTCGCACAAACACATTGTGTGCATTGCTGGTTTTATAGAGGTTGTTGTCACTTTTTAGCTGGTCAAGCTGGGAGATCAGCTCACCCCCAGCTAAAAACCAGCTGGGATTGCCTGGGACCTGTGAGCTAAGTCTAGTGAAACAACTTAGGCTGGTTTAAGCTTTTCCCCCAGTTGCATTTACATTAACAACAGTTGTCAGCTATTTCTGCTATTTACTTTTTTTTCTAAGCACATCACATAAAATACATCTTGATGCCCCTATTCTGTGCTGTTTTCATATTTTTAAATACAATTCTGTGTGAACAGCACCTGATGCTCACATCATACTATAGTGTTTTGAATGGCTAAAGTCAAAATGACCTACCTGTCTGTATAATAATTGCTGGACAAAAATAGTCCATTTTATCATTTATCAAATGAAAATCATTTAGCTTATAATAGCAATAGCATACCTCTCCTCAAGTTTCATGGCTGTAGTAGCACAAACGGTGCAGTTTAAGTTACACACCAAAGCATAATACTTTGAGGTTCGTTCAAATCCCTAAGCTTAAGTATGAACAACAATAGTGTTGCTTACCTTACCTTAGCAAGACCACTAAATATGATTAAAGTTTTCTCTTATCTGAGTAAGGAAGAACATCTGATTTTGCTGCAGGCAAGTTGGGGCAAGCGGGCCAATGGAAGGGGCCAAAAAACTTGAATAATCCAGACAAATGTCCTTTCATTACCTCAGATAAACCCACCACATGCAAGACAAAGCATTAAGGCATATCTTACTTGTAAAATGTCCTCTAGATAAAATATAAATCAGCAGATAAATCTTGGAAGCGCTCAAAAGTGTGGCTACCATGTCTTCTTAGCTGACTAGGTGCTTGAAATCTATTCAGAGAGGAATGTTTTTGGTTTCACATACCTGAACTACACTAACTAGGCATATACAGACTTGTTTTGAAGGAGGACCACAATCTGAATTCAGTTGCTAAAGAATAATGGGAATTTTAAACGAGTTTTGCTCAGGGAAACATGAGAAACGGCAAAGACATGTTCTGAGCAAAAAAGGTCCCCCACATTCATGCTCTTCCAGGCTTTAAAGAGGATGTTTTTTTCTTTTGGGAAACTTCCAGAAATCTCATTGTATAGCTAGTGATCTGCAGGGGAGAACAAAAATTCTCATGGGTGTGTGGTACAGTAATTGAATTTCCAGCCTTGCTCAGGTTCTGCTCCAAATGGCTTGGTCTATATATCGGCGTATTTTCAGAGTAGAACGTGCCAATTCAAACAGCCGAACATCATTCTGACCTGAAGCAATGGACAGTATCATTAGGACTGAAGGCAACCAGCAGTTCTTGGATAATAGTTCAGTCAGGATTGTAGGGAGCATAAATTTATGAACAATTTCTTGGCACATTTCAACATCATGATATATAATGAAAGTTTTATGGCCTCCAGGCTTTTCTAGGAATGAAAATCTGTCTGACTCCACCTCCAAAACCTCCAGCTTGGACGTGATTGGCCACTCCAGCACGACCTGATCTAAGTTAGTGACATCATTCAAGATGCCTCCCAAGAAGGCATCACTTTAGGCAGAGGTTACTTCAGGACATTGTTACGAGTCACTGGGGTCAAACCAAAGTTTTATAGGTTTAATTAATCTTTATTGATATCTTTGTTGCTAATTACTCTTAAAACACAATCATACAGATGACCATTACAAATTCCTGCCCCCACCAAAAGTTGCACTGCAGTGATTTGTATTGAAATATTAAACAACATCCCATACCATTACCATGGCTAATTTCATGGCAGCAATGCACAATTTCCCCTGTAGTTTGTCATCATAATGATTAACTGAAAACAGATTCTGGACTGTACAAAGAGGTTCAAAGTTGGGACAACATCGCCCCCTAACTTATAAATAAAATTCTGAGGAACATCTAAATAAGGAACTACCAGTGTGATTCAGGATATATACCAAAATAAAACATTCAGGAAATGGTTTCCCTTTCAATGTGGGAACTTGAGGGTTATCATCAGTGTTGGGCAAGTTACTTCCAAAATGTAATACATTATATATTACTAGTTACTGTCTTTTGAAAGTAATTAGTTACATTACAATATTACTGTCTCTGAATTGTAATGCGTTACACTACTTTTGAGTTACTTTCACCAAAATATCCACAGACTTATGACTAGGCATTCTAAAATGCTAAAATGTAGTTTATTGCTGCTCATTAAACATCCAGTAGTTCATAATGTGCTAGGTATATATACTTGCGTTACTGAGATTGTAACGAGTAATAATATTACCCAAATTTGATTAGTAATGCGTTATATTACTGCGTTACAGCAAAAAGTAATATACTACTGTAATATTATTACTTTTGTAATGCGTTACTCCCAACACTGGTTATCATTAGATATATCAGTGATCTAATACTCCAGTGATTAGACTTCCACAATATGCAATCTTTTGCTCTTTTGACATTTAAAAGTCATGTAGAAAGTGCATTTGTAACGGTTTTTTAAAAACCACATTCCTCCTACGCCATGAATAATCAAGCTCTGAATAATCAAATGTATTGAGCAATTGGCCGACGGACATGACGGTAGTCATCGGTTTTCTGTTTAGTAATGCAAAAACATCTTAAACTGTAACCAAGGCTAGAGAGATGCCACATATTATTAGCTGTTCTTGATAACGCAACCATCACTTTTACTAAATAAACCTGAAATACGAAATTAACATGTTCCGATTGGATGATACGCAATTGTTAATGTAGTGTTCTTTTTCAGAAAATGTAAAAATTTACTTGCATTCTCAGCTCTGCCAGCATCGTTAAGTTCCTCTAATAATGCTTAGACTAAGAGTGCCACCTAGTGGCATCATAAGAAAACAAGAGCACTCCTTTGAAGAAAACTCCACAATAAATTTATTGAAACACGTCAAAAACAAGTGGACATCTAGTTAATGGTGTCAAAGATAGGTTTCATTTTAGCAAAACATTCCTGAGCATTCACCAAGTGTACCACAGAAATGACTAAAATCTAGAGATGTGGAATGGAGAAAAAACTAAAGTCGAAATAAAATCTCTACACAATGAAACCACTTTTCTGTTAAGTCTTTACACCATGAAAAGAAAAGTGGACTTAAAAAAAATTGTTACAAAGCTTGAATGGCAATATACAAGCTGCAAAGTCTCTTTGCACACAACAGATAAACAAGGGAAGAGGATGCAAGTTAATAGCGTCGACCAAAGGCTCCGCCTCCCTGCATTCCGCTGCCTTGCATCATCTGATTCGGTCGGTTTAAGGCTCCAGAGATTGACTGGGATGTCCCTGTCTGTATGTATCCACCTCGGCTACAGAGACAAATATATTAGTTTCATGCACAACAAAAGAAAACCCATGAAACTCACTATACTCCAAACAAGACCACGAAAGCCTAAATCTCACTACCTTGCCATTCCACCCCGTGCCACGTGACCCTGTCCCGGGACACCTCGGTCAGCTCCTAAAAAAAGAAAGGTAATAAATCAGAAGGGAGGAGAACATACAACCTTTTCTAAGCTTAATAGGAGGTTTATTGGACAAACCTTGCCAGTTTCTGTCCCCGTCCATTTTACGTCCAGGCTCCCAGTCCCTGTTGTCACGACTGTAAAAACAAAGAAGCAGAACAAACAGTTGAACAAAGAGGTCTAAGACCACAGCACATCTGACCAGAGGAGGAAAATCAACTTACCCGCCTGGCACTGGCCTCGAAGGATTCATTCCACGCTTGTCGTATCCGCCACCCCAATTGTCACGATTGTCCCTGCCATGTCTGTCCCGATCTGAAAAGTGCTGTGGATGGAGAAAATAGGATGAGATGCCATCCAATACCCAAAGATCAAATCGAATTAAGATCCGTGAAGGACTTTTCTTACCTGGTCTCCTTGCATCCCGCCTCTGTTGTCTCTCCTATAGAAAAAGGCATGCAAATTATTACCGTATAGTAGCAAAATCTATAGACAAATGTCTAGATGTTTGGGTGCTGTTAGACATTGCTGGTGTTACCTGTCCATCATCACGTCATCCTGACAGCGGCTGCGGTCTCTGTGGTCAAAATCTTGGTAGCGGTCTTGGCGTCCAAAATCCGACCTTCCACCGCGATCATCCATGGTCATTCTCTTCATCTGCCAGTCGTCTTTTCTGTACATTTGAAAGAGGAAACAGAAAAATTGCACAAATCCAGACATGCTTGCATGGTCAAAACTGACAAATCAAGATGCTCCTAGTCATTGAACTTTCTAAAAAATGATCAGGTAGAGTAAGAAGTTGGATGTGGAAACCCGTTCCTGCGACCCTAAACAAAATCTGTGACTTCGGCAACCCTACCCTATGCATACCTGCCATCCATGTCGTAAGGCCTCTTAAGGGAACGTCGATCCTGTTCAAATCGTAGCTGTTCTTGTTGTCGCCTCAGCTCCTCCCTCTCACGATGAATGCGCTCCTGTTCACGCCGCCGCTCGTACTCTATTCGGAGACGCTCGCGCTCCAAAAACTCACGCTCCATGCGATCCGCATTTAGTCGCTGCTTCTCCACTTCTAGCCAGTTGCGCTTCCTCATCAACCTCTCCTTCTCCTCCCGCTCCCGGAAGAGGCGGATACGCTCTCGCTCCGTACGGCTGTCGCGGTCTCGCTCACTGGAATGTAATTAAACAGGTTGAGAAATCAGTGGAAAAACTGCTAAATTGGTTTTTGATCAACAGTAGATCAGGTTGAGAGGAAGATGATGGGAGGCAGTAGTTACCCAGAGTGTCTGCGTCTCTCCACCTCTCTTATCTCTCGTTCCCGCTGCCTTTGGCGCTCCCTCTCTCTCTGCTCTTTGATCTGGTCAAATGACAAAATGTCCTTCCTCTCTTTGCTGGAGGACTTACGGTCACGGCTCTTAGTGCTCTAAAACAAAAAATCGGTGCATAAATTTCAATACTTCTAAAACAACAAGGCAGTTGGATTTAAAACGGTTCGAATTATGAAACGTACTCGTTCTTTGCTTTTTGTTTTCACACTGATGACCGGCTCTCCTTTCGACTTGTCCATCACGACGGTCCTCTCTCCTCCTTGCTCTGTAATGGCAAGATTGAACCATTAAGATCTGGATATCTTAGGATATTACTTAAGGTAGTAACAAACGTGAAAGCTATTTTTTTTTTACCTTTTCCATCAGAGATTTCAGACTTCTCATCTTTGTTCTCAGATCTATAAGGATGTATGATGAGATTGTTACAGTTATTTGCAGGGGCGATTCTAGGATTTTTTTTTTTATGGGGTAGCACAGGGTGGGGGACCAAGAACCAGTCAGGGGGGGCCCATGGGAAAAGTCATGTGCCCCAACACAAGTGGGATGACATAAAATGTCACTGCACAAGTGCCTGGACAACGCATCTCTCTTTTTTTATAAATAAAACCCATTGAACGGACAATAATTGTTCTCAACTTCTTTTATTGTCCAAACAGACTGCGTGTGCGCCAGGTTCAGGGCTGCTAATTTGCTGGTCAACTTGGCACAGCCTGGTGGATTGGCTCTTACCTGCACTGCACTGTACTGCATATACCTAAAATTCTGTCTAAAAATAAACAAACCTCTAACTTAATCATCAATATTACACAAATAGTATATTTAATAGCCATATTCTCATCTGATTAAAGAAAATCATTTAAATGTGAAGCTGTTCTTGGACATTGCAAATGAAAATAAAATAAGACTACCACGCAAAAACGTTTGTTCATTCAATACAAACAGGTGTTTGTTTACTATTCTACATCTTAAAATTCCAAGTGTCAGAACACTAACATTATTAAAACCCCACATTTTAGCGTTTACCATGTTACTGCAGACTATTTGGGAAAGTGATTGTGCCTTTAATCTTTGAAACAACAGGAAGAAACGCAACAACGATTTCTATTTTAAGCGGTGCTGGTGCATTGTGGCTGAATAACACAACTAGGCACAAACTCTAAGGAGCTTTCAACATAGGTGTATGTGTGTGTATACAACTCGTATCTTTGCTTATATATCTCATTGCTGTCAATCGATTAAAAAAAAAATAATTAACTGATGAATCACACTATTTTTCTGAAATTAATCGCGATTAATCAGAGGTGTAAAGAGTACCTGAAAACCATACTTTAAAGTTTTTAAATATACTTTTATATTGTAATAATTTCACATTAAATCTTCAAATTAATGTACAAACAACAAATACAGTATATTTTTAAATATTTGTTTAATGGCATCTTTTGAATGCCAGTATCACTGATACCAATACTACTGATGTCTCTATAAAATTGTTTTTCCCCCTAATATTTAACCATTTACTATAGCCATTTAACATTACAGTATAACTGAGAGCTATCAATTTTAACATTTATTAGACTTTAAAAAAATAATTTATAATTTAAGTGAACTTAAAAAAACAATCTTCACAAAAACCCACTATATTAAATGTCATTTACCTGTGCCCTTCAGCAGAAATATACAGAAATTGATGTTATCAAACACTACATTCTAAATTAAATACAGATGAATCCTTAAAGCTATAAAAGTTATTGATTTCCTATTTTTTCTTTGTCCTTTGACATCATAGCAGCTGGCTATTAGGTTATTTTGGCTGTTATTTCTTTAAGAGCTGCCGCTGCTGAACGTGACGCAGATCTGACACGAATCGTATTTTCTCAAATCTCTTTACCTTTTCTGACACACTTGAGGTCTTAAAGTCTCTAATGAACTGATGAGTTGAATCGGGTGTGTTAGATGAACCATTTCAGACATGTTCTTTAAATGTGACTCATTTAAAATATATTACATGCAGTTTTAAGTAGCGGTCGACCGATATTGTTTTTTTGACAGCCGATGCGATATCTTGGAAAGCTGGGTGGCCGATATAAAGCCAATGTCATTTTATTTATTTTAATTAATAAGACATTTGAAATCATTTGAAAATTGATTAAAAAAATAAATGTGTTAAATAAACATACTTGATGACAAATATTTAATAAAAATATAATTAAAAAGGAAGTAAACACTGTAACCAACAGGGCACTCAGTATTCTGGGAAGTTTGTGTGCATTAATCATGTTTTTTTCAAATAAAGCCAAGGTAACTCATTTTACATACAGAACACAGTAAAAAATGACATGAATATGACAGTGGGCAAATGCATAAAGCGCAGCATAATTTAAAATCACAAGTTTAAAGTTTGTCGATCGCAGATTGGATCCATTTAACATTCAGCAGGCCTACATAAATACAACAGAACAAAGATATTGAAATCATTTGAAAATGTATTTAAAATAAATGTTAAATAAACAAACTTATACTTTAGATGACAAAGTATTTTTCACAAATAAATAAATATTTTATAAATAATATAATAAAAAAGGAAGTAAACACTGTAACAGGGCACTCAGTATTCTGGGAAGTTTGTGTGCATTGGGAATCATTTTTTTTCAAATAAAGCCAAGGTAACACTCATTTTACATAGAGCACGCAATGAAAATGACATGAATATGGCAGTGGGCAAATGCATAAAGCGCAGCATAATTTAAAATCACAAGTTTAAAGTTTGTCGATCGCATCTCCAGTGAAGCTGAACTCTCCTCCGGTCCACATTCAATTCTAACGGATCGTCCGTCACGCAGAGAACACGCGATCATGCAGGATACAAATGCACACTTCACAAGATCTCACAACTGGATCCGACTAAGTTTGCAAGGTGTTTGAAATGAGATGTTCATTAGACATTCAACGATTTGTTTAAATTATATAAATGCGTATTTGCTGAATGCTGACGGCAAACAAGAAAGTATTATAATGTTTGACTTTATTACTAATAATATAAAAGCAATCATTATAATACTTTATATACATTTTAATTCCTTTGTTTAACTGTTCTGATTATTAGACAGACGTATTAGATAATCCATATTAGACAGAACTGAACGACAACAGCGAACAAGAGGGAGAATGTAAGCACTGTGTGCTCAGGGGCTGCCGTTCTCAGCGCCGTCAAAATAAAAGTCCCGCCTCAAACGCATCGGCCGATATTTAAAAAGTGCCAAATATCGGCCGATATATCGGCCTTGGCGATATATCGGTCGACCCCTAGTTTTAAGGCAGCTTTAAATCGTCTTTTTGATAACATCATGACTTTCCTGACCACGGCATTGCATGCACGTAGTTGGTTTCATTCGCGCGTTCATATTAAATGATACAGGCTACAGCGCGTGCCGGCGCCTTTGTCCGTGCAATTGAACAGCACACGCTACGAGCACAGTACCGTTTCCGCCTGGCGCTGAAGTCCAGTTGAGGCGCGCATCTGAAACGCCTCCGGTTTGATGTGGTCATAAAGACATTCGGAATAAATGCACTTCTTGTCAAGAGAAAAAATTACAGAAACAGCAGTTGACAGTTGTGAGGGGGGGGGGGGTCGGTACCACCCCTCTAGACACACCCCTGGTCATTTGGCATGCAGAGATGTCTGCAAATATTATTGATCTACAACTTACTTTTCTGTCTTTGAGTCCGAGGAGTGTCTTCTGTCACTGCCAGACTTTTTGGTATCGCTTTTGTCAGCAGGCTTCTTTCCGGCAGGCTCGTTCTTAGCCTAAATACATATACAAATCAAGGCTTCGACTACACACCTTGTGTCAATAATACTGACAGCCACCCAACTCTGAAGCAATACTTCATGCACTGGTGCAATTTATAATAAAAAGTTTAGAAATAAAGGCCCTTACACACTAGAGAAAGCTTTTGGAAAATCCATTTTGAGTAAAGTCAGTTTGAAATAAAACAGGAATAAAGCGAGTTGAATGTCCAAATTCAGAAACTGTGTTAACGCCTTAAAGGAACACTCCACTATTTTTGAAAATGTGCTCATTTTCCAAATCCCCTAGAGTTAAACGAGTTTTCGAATCCATTCAGCCGATCTCCGGGTCCAGCGGTAGCACTTTTAGCTGTAGCTTAGCATAGATCATTGAATCTGATTAGACCGTTAGCATCTCGCTCAAAAATGACCAAATAGTTTCTATATTTTTCCTATTTAAAACTTGACTCTTCTGTAGTTACATTGTGTACTAAGACCGACGGAAAATGAAAAGTTGCGATTTTCTAGGCCGATATGGCTAGGAACTACAGGTACATCTCAATAAATTAGAATGTTGTGGAAAAAAGTTCATTTATTTCAGTAATTCAACTCAAATTGTGAAACTAGTGTATTAAATAAATTCAATGCACACAGACTGAAGCAGTTTAAGTCTTTGGTTCTTTTAATTGTGATGATTTTGGCTCACATTTAACAAAAACCCACCAATTCACTATCTCAACAAATTAGAATACTTCATAAGAACTTCATACTTCAATAAAAAAAACATTTTTAGTGAATAGTTGGCCTTCTGGAACACGACATTCTAATTTATTGAGATACACCTGTATATTAGTCTAATCAGATTCAATAATCTATGATAAAGCTACAGCTAAAAAAGTGCTACCGCCGGACCCGAAGATCGGCTGAATGGATTCGAAAACGGTAAAACTCAACTGTCTAACTGTAGGGAAAATAAGCCTATTTTAAAAAATAGTGGAGTGTTCCTTTAATAATAAACTAAACTATTTACCCTTTCAACTGAAATCATCCGGCCATGCAGCTCGGTTCTGTGCAGATGGCTGATGCACTTTGTGGCCTCCTCAGTAGAGCACATTGTAACAAACCCATAGCAGCGAGCACCGGGGCTTCGGGCATTTGTTACTACTTTAGCACCAACAACCTGCAAGTGGTAACAAATATGGTTCAGGACACCATCCCACCTAAGAGCAACCTAATTTTTTTAGTTTTCTAGAATATGCAGACCTTGCCATATTTGCTGAATAGATTTTTTAGATCTGTCGCTCTCGTGGTTGAAGACAGTCCACTGACCCAAAGGTTCCTTCCGCTAGCAGCTGCGCTACCTGATAGGGCCCAAAAATCAATTTAGAAAAGCCCAGAAACTATTTCTTGTTTAAAAAGCTCACTGCAAACCCACCTTTATCATCTTTTGAGTCAGGCTTGCTTGATGAATCCTCATCACCACTAGAGAAAAATAAAACGGCATAATGAGAAATTGAATGGGCAGTTTAAACGGGAACACCAGTGTCGATAAACAAATACCCACCTAGTGAGGACAAACAATGAACGAAGATTTGGATACTATAACTTGAATAGTCATGTGAAGCCCAATTACGTTAAACATACCTTGGACTGGCAAACCAAATTTCTGGTACATTACTTTTTGAAGGTAGAAAAGAAAATGACAAAATGGTAGACGAAATGCGCAGTCGATTATACCTCCCAAGAGCACCCATACTTGTTAACAAAGGAGCCAATGAAACAGAGAAAGCCATTGTTCTAGTAGACAGAAAACAACAAACCTCTTTTTCTGATCATCACCCTCTACAGAGGACTCTTTCACTTCTGAAGACTCAGCAGGTTCAGTCTTCTTGCATTCCTCGACTGCTTCTCCTTTGGATGCCCTTTCCGAATCAACTGCGCTTTCGATATCGTGCAAATCTGTTTCGCTACCATTAGCGGCCTGAGCAGAAGTGCTCTCGGTGTCCACCAAATTGTCCTGAATATTTTCTTGGTCCTTGCTTGTTGATTCAATTTCACTTTGCTTTGATGCATCAACGTCCATTTCGCAGGCTGACGATTCGGCTTCCAAATTGGCGGCCTCCTCGACGTTAGCAAGGTCCTGCACATGGTCTTCCTCTTTGTGAGAATCCCAGACTGAAGATTTCTCGTCTTCAGTCGGCTCTTCAGTGGTGTCTTCCTTAAGTGGCTCTGATATACAAGACCCGGCTACTTTCTCACTTTCTACGGATTTAACAGGAATAGAATGGCACAGAGTTTAATCACTTCTGAGACATTGCAATGGTTATCGTGGAACTGGACTAGGACGTGGCCCTCTGCTGTCTCATACACAAGCAAAGGCAAGCTACCCTATGAAGAGACTGGAAAAACCAAAGCGAGGACAAGCAACAAGCTTCCAGACAACAGGCCATTTCTTTTCAGATCACCTGCACCCCGAAGCAGAGGGCAAGCTGTTGACTAGGGAAAGCCACAAGACCTGCACCACATCCGAGTGTCCATCGTCGACTTTAGTACTTGAAGTGTCCGTGATATGGAAGAAGCAGCTTGTGCTGTCTTTACAGGAATTGTGTTTCTTTTGAAACAAGCAAATTGTCCATTAGTGAAATCTCCAATTAACAAACTTTGAGTCCTATAGTGATTTTGCTTCAGCATGATCCAATTCTTCTCATCTTCTCTTCGTGGTCTTCTTTAAGCAACCTAGAAACACTAAATTGCATCTGCAACAACCATTTAAACCAACCTATGTGCTAACTGAAACAGATTGCTGGTTCTTTGCATTTCCGCACCGTCCAAAAAGAGCATGTGAAGGACTATAACATGGTTCTAAATAAATATTTAAATGGCTAAATGTATTGTCAGTAATGCAGAAAGCCAGTAATCAACTTTGGATTTCCAGTCTCTTTTTCCTGAGTAACCTGATACATTAATACTAAATGGACCTTATGGCTTCACCCTGACTTTAAGAGCAATTCCAGACAACCCCATATAGTACCTTTTACACTTTTTGTGTCCTCGCCTCCATGCTCACCATCATCCTCCTGCTAAAGGTGAAAAATGAATAAAGATCAACAAAATAAACCCAATGCCGATCGTAGAAAAAAAAAAAAAAATTAAACTTCCTTAAATACCTGACAAGGAGCTTCCTGGTTCTCATTCACGTCTACGTCATTAGCCTCCATTTCCTGAAAGCCAAAGAAAGCGTCACACAATGTGCAACAAAAACAAAACAACAGTATGATTGGCTAATTTTAAAAACTCACCTCCTCTACCTCAAATTTACTCGTGACAACATCAGTGACATCCTCTGCGTCGTGGTTATTTGCGTCATCCTCCCTCAGGTTGGCTGTGTTCTCTTCGTTCAATAACGTGTCTAGGACCTCCTCGTCATATTCGTCTCCCTCGGGCTCACATCCATTGCCCATATCAGCTTCATCCAGGACATTCATGTCCATAATATCCATCTCATGAAGGTTCTCTGGAATAGCATCCGGGTCCTCCTAAAGGAAGTAAAGGCGGCTGTTAAGTTAAGATAAACCTATGCAAAATAACCCAACCCAGTTACGTAGATCATATCCATCAACAACTTTATATGACGAAGCACCTGGCCATCAACAGAGTCCTCCTCAAGGGTGCAATCTTCAGGCTCATCAGGTTCGTCTTGTCTTTTTCCTGTAGAGAATAAAAATATATATATACACACACATGTATATAAATTTTGTAAATAATTAAATTGAAGCAAGTTTTGTGTAAATTTGTGAAACACGATGTAGTAGCTAAATGATTTTGAAATAAAAAACATCAAAACACACTTTTACCTTTTGGAGTTCGCCGAGGTGTTTTTTTAGGAGTTATCTCTAGGTGTACAATGATCTCATCAGGATTTCCACCCTCTTCTTCAATGGCCTGCAAACGAAAGTATGATTTATATAGTCAAATACAAGCATAAATGTCATCCATTTCCCTATTGTTTACAGCTTCACAACAATCCATCATTATTCTACACGACAACCTACACTTCATTCACTGCATATTACCTAAGCATTGAATTCAAAACATCCTGCAAAGCTAGTTTGATGTCTGCAATAGCCAGAGAGTTGTGCGTAACAAAGTTATGCATTTGACAAATTACCAGTAATCCAATACATCCTATTAGAAAAGAAAAAAAAAACACACGATTCGCCCATAAACCGCACGTGACGTTACTGCAGTAAACACCCACCCCAGTAACTTATGCATGCAAAGCATGTTTATACAGGAGAGAGTTGCAAAATGATTAGATATGTTATATGTTATTAGATATGTTATATGTTATTAGATATATCTGGTGTTGCACTTGCCTTTTTGAGTCTTTCTGAAAGCAGGCTCTTATTGCCGCTGATGTCGAGATTTCGGCGCTTCAGCTCGGCCTTCAAATCAATCACTCTCAGCTCCGATAATTTACGCACCCCCGCCTCCACAGGCCCCACATCTGCGGTCGAAGAGTCTGACATGTTTTCTAGTTGTGAGAACGTTACGGTGGAAGTACGAGTCTCTCTTTACCCCGCGCACACTCACCAAATTTTAGATAGAGCGCGATAAACAGCGTTTCTCACTCGAAGCAAAATGGCGCAGTCCACTACAGTCATACGCATGCGCCTGCCTTGGGGCTTTTAGGCGCATGCGCGCAAACGTCATCGAGTTGACATGAGCGCGGGAACATCTTGGTGTAAATTATTCCAAGGTTTTTGCGGATAATGGTTTAATTGCTGGTGGAATGACCTGCCCAACTCAATCCGAGCAGCTGAGTTCTATAGCCATCTTCAAGAATCGGCTAAAAACACATCTCTTCCATCTTTATTTGACCCTCTAACTCTAGCACTCTCTATTCTAATTCTATTTTTTTTTTTACTTGTCCCTTTAAGACTTGCGCTCTATTCATTTACTAACTGCTTGTTTTCTTTAAAAAAATAAACTAACACTAGCTTTTCTAATCTTTATGTATTATATTTGTTTTATTTTTATTTATTATACAATTAACAAAAGCAAAAAAAAAACAAAAAAAATGCCTCTAACACTACCTTGCTCTATTCTTTCTCTATTCTATCTGTTTTCTTTTTATTTATTATATAATTTAAAAAAAAGCCTTGCTACGTGTACTGCGTTAAGCTAACGTTAACTGAGACACTTGCATATCATTGCTCTTTTGTTGATTTTGATTGCTTCCATGGTCCTCATTTGTAAGTCGCTTTGGATAAAAGCGTCTGCTAAATGTAAATGTAAAATACATTTCAGGTGGGAATCGAAATAGAATATTATACGAAAAATAGCCTATTTAGTCAGCTATTCATAAAATTAGACAAAGCAGATCTGATGAAAATATATTATTTAAGAGCATTTTGAAAGGAGTGCGGGAACCTGATATATTTTGCTTTTCTTTCCGAAAATAACGTTACTTGGTATTTTAGTGAGTAAAAGAAATTATGAGTAGTAGTTTATAATTACACATATGTCGGTCAAGGTCATTAATGTGTGAGTGCAAAGTGTTCCTGGATTAACATCCTTGTTGATCTTGGAACAATATTCCAAGCAACCAATCAGAATTGAGGGATAAGTTTACAGGAAATGTCAGTTTTAGCCTTACAGCCAGAGTTAGGAGGTTTGTACACCCTTGTTATTCATCTATCATTTCCCACTGATTTTAGGGATAAATTATGGGTAGGGTTTGGTTTAAGGATAGGGTTAGGTTTATGTTTTGGAACATTTTAGTCCGACACACAAACCAGACTGGAGAGTAGATTAGCGTTTGTGGACTTGAACTTGAAAAATGGTGTGTATTGACATCTTCCAGCATTTGAAACAAGATACCTTCTGCTGTTCATTCATGTTTATTATTTCATGCTATAACTAGTAAAGAGGAAGAGATGATCAGTTCACGAGCTGCTTGAACTGAGGAGCCACAGTGATCTGTCACGATACATTAAAGAGCCACAAAACAATAGCCTATTTATTGTTTGAATTTCTTAAAAATGTACAAAATTTGAAAGCGGAGACTTTGTTTGATACCAAAAGTAACCTGCTCTGTCTTGTCTGTCAGCATGTTGTCAGTTTCCTCTTTGCTCTGCAATATATAACATGCCACACATAACATGATGTGTGGCATGAGAAGCGGCATGTCTTGTCGGACATAGCAACAGTAATGAAGGGGGCGGGTCTTTGCGAAGGGTCAATTACATTACATTCACAAGCTTCTGTAACATGGCAGGCTGGGTGGAATATAACAAAATCATATTGTAACATATACACTGTAACATGCAAGACGCACAGCTTTGAACACTTTCCTGCTAAAGGGAATTTGGTAAGTTGCTAAATTTAAATGGGAGTTCCTGAGAAGAGGCGCTAGGCAAACTCTTGATGGCGGGAGGTTCTTCGGATTCAAGGAACTCAGGACATATGGTTTCCTCTGGTTCATTCTTTCAACTAGAGAATGTGGGTGATTCCATGGGTCCCTGATAGTAGGACCAGGATGTAGATGCAGATCCGATGGAGGAAAGGCTTAAGTCGGCTTCACTGAAAGATGAAGACTCCATTATACTGGACATTTGTAGGTCAGAGGAGGAGGTGTGAGAGAGTCGTGGCTCGTGTAGGTTGAGTTTTGACACTAAAGGTTTGCCTACACTGATCCTTTGCTCTTCCAAGAGCTCTTCATCCAGATTAGTGTACTTGTAGTGTAGACACACAGTAAAGGAGAGCTCTTTCTGTGTGGGGGAAAAGCAAAAAGATATGCCTTATCATACACATATAAAACATTAGATATACAGGGGTTAGACAAGATATTGTGAACACCCATTATTATAGGTGTTAATAAAATTTGTGTAGGCTACAGTGAAAAAAACAAACATTGTCATTATCTTTTATTTCTCTTTTCATCTTCTATATTCTCTAATTTGTAAATCAGTTTACAGGTAGTGTTAAGTTGTGTTCAGCAATGTTTAGTACAAGTGCTTGTGAAGCGGGTGACATGTCAGACTTCCAAAAAGAACAAATCATGGAAGCTTGTTTAAAGGAACACTCCACTATTTTTGAAAATAGGCTAATTTTTCAACTCCCCTGGGTTAAACAGTTGAGTTTTACCGTTTTCTAATCCATTCAGCCGATCTCCGGGTCCGGCGGTAGCACTTTTAGCTTAGCTTAGCATAGATCATTGAATCTGATTAGACCGTTAGCATCTCGCTCAAAAATGACTAAAGAGTTTCTATATTTTTCCTTTTCAGGCACTGCGTAATATCATTGCGCCTGCTGCACCCATTGTACATTTAAGCTAAGCTAAAAGTGCTACCGCCGGACCCGGAGATCGGCTGAATGGATTCGAAAACTGTAAAACTCAACTGTTTAACTCTAGGGGAGTTGGAAAATGAGCCTATTTTCAAAAATAGTGGAGTGGTCCTTTAATAGTAGCATCTGTAACCTTAAAAGCCCATTTTTATGACTGTGACTGCGAACACAAAGCATGGCAAGACATCTTCAACAAAAGAAGAACAGTGGGCAAACTGAAGGTGAATAATATGGGCCGTTTAACACTAAAAAGAACTGTGCCCAAACAACACATAACTACTGCTGCAAAGTGACAGCAAATCTCAATAGTCACCTTAAAGAAAGTTTCCACAAAAACCAACCACACAGAACTTCACAAAGCCAACATCCATGAAATAGCTGCAACTGCTAAAGTTATAATCAGAGACAACCATTTTAAAATGTGAAAATGATGGTATTGTAATCTTAAACCTGGACAGTTGGAGCACCAAGATGAACTTCAACATCTGCCCAGGCCAGACAAATCACCTGACTTGAATATTATCAATCCACTGTGGACAGTTTGGAGAGAAGAGTGAGAAGCAGATTCCCTTCATTAACTTTTCTGAAACAATTGGCTGATAGATGACATTCCACTGGAGAATATTCAGAAGTTTTATTAATCTATTTTAAGTAGGCTGGAAGCTGTATTAAAGGCAAATGGTGGTAAAACACCTTAAGGAAGTAATATTTCCCAGGTGTTCCCTTATTTTGACCAACCCCTGTATTATATTGTACACATATTGTACCTTGAGCCTTTGCAGGGCACTAATACGAGTAAAGAGCCGAGGTTGTTCCAGAGGCAGTAGATCATCCATGGACAGTAGTAAGCTGCCAGCCTCGTGAAGACTCTCCTGATTGCTGTGCTTCAGGTCTACTTCAGGACCCTGAAATTATATCATTGTCAAAACTGTAAACAATGCTTCTTTGGCTATGTGTTTGACAATCAACCAAAGATACACCAAATTGAAGCAGACCATGGAAATTCATTCACAGGACAGCAATTAATGATACATATTTATGTTATATTTTCTCAGGACTGATTCAACACATTCTTCGGAGATCTACAAGAAAGTCAGTTTACCTCTGTAAAGTCAGAGAGCTGAGCAGAGCAGGACACAATGTCTTTAGGTGTCTCCAATATCCGAGTGTAGATTATCATGATATTGGAGAACTCTGCAGCGAAACCTAGCTGTACCTTGACACCACATTCAAACTGAAGACAGCGGCTCTCTGGGATGACTGGAACAATTTACACAAAATCATCATTACATTTATCATCATTTTATCTACAGCCAAAGTACTTTGCATAAGGATATAAACTAAAGGGGTTTTATTTTAAACAGGTCTCACCATGTGCAATGGCCCACTGTAAGTTTCGCGTTGATGCTGTGACTTGGCATGCTGGACCCTGAATGCAGTCTGTCAGGGCACGACGCTCCGAGAGATTACTGCGCAGCTCTAGAGCCTGCCGACCACGAGTGATTTCACACCTTCCCATGTCTGAAATAGACAGTGACTCTGTAAAACTGTGTGGTCATACTTGGTGTCATCAGTTTTTTGATAGAAGCCTATGGCATAGATGTGGCTTAACAGTAGTAGCACATTTTGTGTCTGGAAAGTAGTTCTAACAAAATGTCGATACCGACAATGATTCAAACATCTTTAACCCCAAACCTTCTGCTACTTTGTCAAGTATGACCGTGACCTTCTCTGGCTCCATCAGTCTTTTCTTAAGGAAGCTCATGAAGATTCCATTAGAGAGATCATCTTTATTTACTTCAAATGCTTCGGCATCAACACACCTGAATCCAGAATGTGAAAATTGTAATCACAATTTCTAGATGTCAAAAAAATTATTGTCATTGCATTAGACTTACGTTGCATAACCAAACACTATGTTTGCGGTCACTCTCAAAGGGCCAGGTTGTGGGATGCTCTCATCATTTGGGTTTCTGAATGAACAACACAAGAGACGTCAGTTTCAAGTAAAATTGTATGCACAATATTTCAGAACTGATACACTTATGAATCAACTACACCGTTTCCGACACATGTCCAACAGAAAGACGTTAAGTTCCGTCTGGCGCTCTTGCATGCGCTGTAACACGTCCTGCACCCAGAGGCAGTGCTTGAAGGTATAAGAGGCTGGAGCATCGATAGGTACCATGAAACTGTTCCCATAGTTTTCATAGCCATGACCAGCAAAGTACAACAGCCCTTGAAATGGTGGACATGGATGAAATGATCCAAATGTATTTAATAAACAAACAATTAGGAAGCTTAGAACTTAAAAATATCTTTCTATAGTCACAGAAATCCAAATTATGCAACAAGGAACTAACCATAAACACCTCGATCCAACAGCAGCAAGAACTCAGTAACAGCACTATGCATCTCCTGCCAGTTGAGGTCTAGCAGAGAGACGACTTTAAAGTCTAACTGGCGTAGAAGGTTTGTCAACTCGTGCACATCCGCCA